AAAAGGTTAGACTTTCTTAAATGCTAAGAAACAAAGCCACTTTAAAAGGAACTTTAAATTTATCTCAAATGAAATGTTACAATTGTGGAAAATTAGGACATTTGAAAAGAGGGGAGAGTAGTGATGTAAAGAAAAAGTCCACACCCTCAGGGGTTTGTAGAAAATGTGGAAAAGGATTTCACTGGACTAATGAATGTAGATCTGTATTTGACAAAAAAGGTAACAGGATTGGGTCTGGAAACTTAAGATGAGGCTTATCAGCTCAGGGCCCACAAGAAACAATACAGCCTTCCAGCAATATCCTGTGAGCAAAGCCAATCTTGCTGTGAACAGCGGCAGCATATCTCAGACATATTTCATGCCACCTTGGGAAGTATCACATTAGATATAGCTCTTCCTGATAATGTTACTCTTCTACCAGAATTGGAAGTTTATAAGATATGGATTAATATTTTTGGACCAATTCCAGAAAACAGTGTTGGATTAATAATTATTGGAAGAAGTAGTTTAACTAATAAATGTATCTTTGTTCATCTGGGTATTATTGATTCTTATTATGAAAGAGAAATACGTATAATGTTATCCACTAGACAGCCTCAGAATTTGCTAAAAAGTCAAAGAATTGCTCAATAATTATTGCTGCCATACATTAAGCAGAAGGCTGCCCCTATAAAAAGACAAGGAGGTTTTGACAGTACAGGATCAAATACATATTGGAATACCATTAGTAATGTTGTTATTATGTGCCATCGAGCCACTTGCGACTCATAGTGACCTTATGTACAAGAGCCCTAAATGCCATTCTATTCTGTGCCAGCCTAGCCATCTCAAACGCCCTCATTCCCACCACTCCAGGCACAGAATTGATCCATCTCACCAAAGGTCTTCCTCTTCTGCACCGTCCCTCCACTCCACCAAACATGATGTCCCTCTCCAAGGACCAGTCCCTCCTTGTTACATGCCCAAAGTATGTCAGACGAAGCTTCAGAATCCTTGGCTCCAAGGAGCATTCTGGCTTTACCTTCTCTAGGACAAACCTATTTGTTCTCATAGCAGTCCATGGTATATTCAAAACTCTTCTCCAGCACCACAGCTCAAAGGCATCAATTCTCTTTCTATCATCCCTATTCACTGTCCAACTCTCTGATGCATAGCATGTAATTGCAAAGACTATAATAGTCCAGGACATGTGCACTTTAGTCTCCAGCCTGATGTCGTTGCTCTTCAGTACTCTTGAGTGGTATCTCACAGCTGACTTTCCCAATGCAATTTGTCTTTTAATTTTCTGGCTGCTGTTACCAAGAGTGTTGACTGTGGAGCCAAATAAACTAAAACTGTTAACTATCTCAAACTCTTCACCATCCATACTAATGCTGCCGATTGGCCCAGTGGTGAGAATCTTTGTTTTCTTGATGTTGAGCTTCAATCCATATAGGAGTCTGCAGTCCTTGACCTTCTGCAGCAAGTGCTTCAGGTCCTCCTCAGTTTCAGCAAGCAGGGTTGTGTCATCTGCAACAAATGGTTGTTATAATTGAGAGGCATAAACTAGAAGGATTGGTTGATACTGGGGCTGATGTATCAATTGTAGCTACTCATCACTGCTCCCCTGAATTAGCATTAAAAGATGTGTCTGTTACTTTTACTGGAATTGGTACTACAACAGGTCAAACAAAGTGAATGTGTTTTGGAATGTGAAGAACCAGAAGGTCAAAAGGGTAAATTACAACCTTTTGTAGCTGACATTGCAATTACTCCATGGGGCAGAGATTTACTATCTCAATGGAGAGCAACATTACAAATTCCCACTATTTCGACTCCAGCAAAAATAATAATTTATAGAAAATTTCAGATTATTGGCAGGAAGATTTTGTAAATTATATAGAATTTATAAAATGGACTAATTGGATATTACCAGCTAAAGTAAAAACTTCACCTTTGCAAGCAGATACTTATTATATGGATGGAAATAAGATGGATTAGGCAGGCTATACTAATGGTAAAGATAATAAAGCAGTGAAAACTAATTTGTCTTCTGTTTAACAGGCTGAATTATATGCTTGCTGAAATTGAGGAAACACTTGCCACAGAAGATCAAAGACAATAGCCTTCAACATGAATTGCTTCTGAGGAGTGATGCAAACCCTGACCCAAGCGCTAGCATGAGGACAAGATGGTTGCAAGCAAACTGCACTTTATACAGAAATTGTCTGTCACTGGGAAGGTGTGCTTTTCCCACTGTTTGTTTGTGAACATTCACTTGTTTTATAAATACCTGATATTGTAAAAAAAAAAGAGTATGAATTGCATTTCAACATCATGAAGACAAAAATTCTCCCAATGGACTAATGGAGGAAAGATTGAAATTGTCAACAATTTCATTTTACTTAGATCCCTGATGCACATCCTTGGTACCAGCAATCAGGAGACCAGTAGACATTGCATTGGAAAAGTACACTTTCAGGGATCTCTCCAAAGTACTGAGAAGCAATGATGTTAGTTTGAAGGCTAAGGCGCTCCTGCTTCAGACGAGTGGTTCTTTCAACCACTTGTTAATGCATGTGAGAGCTGGACAACGAATGAGGATGACAAAAGAAGAATCGACGCCTTTGAATTGTGGTGTTGGAGAAGAGTGTTGATATCCTATGGACTGCCCAAAGAACAAACGAATGTCTTGGAAAAAAGAGGAGCCAGAGTTCTCCTTGAAGGCAAAGATGACAAAGCATATACTTTGGTCATGTTGCTAGGAGAAGCTATATATCATGCTTGGAAATGTGAAGAGTCAGTGAAAGAAAGAGAGGAAGACCCTGAATGAGAGGGATTGACACAGTCATTTCAGCAATGGGCCCAAGTATGTAAGTGATGATGGAGCAGGATAGGACAGGGAAGGTAAGTTATTCATAGGGTTGCTATGAGTCATACTTGACTGACAGCACATAGCAGTAATAACAACAACAACTAGTCTGCGGGAGAAAGATGAGTATTCCCCTCCTATGTGATTTATTGCCTCTGAAAGCCCACTGAAGAGTCAGCTATGGGTCAGTTCCAACTTGATGATAGACAACCATTAGGATGATCATTCTTCCTGTGGATGTTTTTGTACTGTTGTCATGTAAGTACCATAAACAGTATGTATACATATGGTATATACATACGGTATGATATTTTGCTTAAGATGTACATAAATTATCTCACATGCATATTCTTTGCTACTTGTTGCTAACAATTAACACTGTTATTGAAATAATCAGTATTAATGTATGAACACCCTGTTCAACAACAACAACAAAAAACACCACAAACCAAACTCAGTGCTTTCAAGAAGATTCTGACTCATGGTACCTTCATCAGGTTTCCAAGTCTGTAAATCTTTATGGAGGGACACCACTTCATCTTTCTTCCAAAGAGTGGCATTGCCAACCTTTTACCAATATATAACATACCATGCCATCAGGGCTCCTCCAAAGCAAGAGAATTATTTGTGAATAATTGTGACATTCTAAAAAGTGAATGGCTGTAGTTTTGTGAACTGAAACAAGATGTCCCTCATTGCTGTTGAGTTGGAATTGACTCACAGCTGATATTCTAGTAGGTTTTCAGAGGCTGTAAATTGTATGGGAGGGTATTGCCCACCTTTCTTTGAAGGAACAGCTGGTGGATTAAAACTGTGTAAGCCTTTGGGTTTGCAGCACAACTTCATACTAGTCCATGAGATCTCTTTAGTCTACACAAGGATCTGAACAATGACAAAAGTAACCTTGAACAATTGAAAGAAATTTTTAGAAGTTTGTTATTCTGAATGTGTGAACAATTTGTTCAAAGACACTATCTATTAGGATATTTTTTTTTTCCATGGGCTCATAAGGATTGTCTTGTATGGAAGACTGGAGCCATACCTTCATTGACAGCAATTAAAAGTTGGATTGCACACTGTCTCACGGGACTTTCAGTTCCTTTTGCATCAAATTGTGTCACAGACACTGAAAATTCGATCGCAGAAATCCCACAAAAATATACCCAGCAACTCCAATAGGCCAATGCATTTTATTATTTTACTCAATTAAATGATCAGTAAATATTTCTGTGGAAACACACAAAGACAAACATTTCTTCTTTTTCACAGGCATTGTTTCACTGTGGGAACTTACATATTAAAAATACAGTGAAAAACTGTTGTGTGAAGCCACACAATACAATTGGGTAGCACTTAGGGAAGGAAGCGTGGTTGGTTAAAGCAATCATTATCCATATTTATCTGTAGGGATAAGAAAAAGAGGGTTAAACCATCTCTCTTTAACCAGGGCAAGGAGGATCACTCTGCTAGCATGGTGTGAGAAAACATTTTCCTGGTGTGAAACTTCCAATGAGCCACGTGACTATGAAAAATCCTCTATAATGTAAGGAATAAATTGTCCATTTCCATTGTGCCACTTACAAGTGATAAGGGGAAATCCTTTTATATAAATTGATTCATATGAACATTCTGGAAATTTAGCTTCCCGTATTAATTTACAATATAGTCCCCTCATCTCTTCACTGCTCTTGCTACATATTCTGGTACCATTCTTACATTCCACAATTGGGCCATAACAGATCTTTCTTACATCTTCATAGTTTTCTCGTATGAAGTAGTGTTCTTCCACACGTTATGCTTATCATGAACGTTTTTCCTTACAACCTCAAAATCACAGAGAGAAGAATCAGATCTTTCAGTTGTGACAGTCATCTTCTGCCTGGAATTATCTTCGGCAGGATCCAAGTTAGCCCATTTTCTTAAAAGCATATCAAAATAATCTAGTAGGTCTTCTGAAGTGAATCTGGTCATGAATCTATGTTCAGCCTTCAGTGATGAGAATTGAAGTAATAGCAGAAACAGTACGTGCATGATGACAGCAGTCTGTCACGGTTCCTGTAGGAAGTAAAAAAGAGATTAAAGAGATCTAGTCTGTGTTGCAAGCAGGGTTGTGTCATCTGCATAACACAGATTGTTGATAGATCTTCCACCAATCCTGACACCACACTTCTCGTAGAGCCCAGCCTCCCGGATAATCTGTTCTGCATACAGGTTGAAAACGTATGGAGACAGTACCCATCCCTGGCATACGCCCTTCCCAATTTTGAACCATGTTTCCTTGCTCTGTTCTGACGACTGCCTCTTGGTCCAAGTATAGGTTTCTCAGCACAATTAAGTGTTCTGGGATTCCCATTCTCCTCAGAGTCAGCCACAATTTGTTATGATCCACACAGTCAAAGGCCTTTGCATGGTCAATGAAACACAGATTCCTTGCTTTCAGCTAAGATCCATCTAACATTAGCGACTATTCCTGTGCAGAGTTAATTTCTAACCACTAAATCTGTTTGTTCTAAACGTCAGGATTTCGGAAATGTTTTAAGTTACTTCAACTGACAATATAAAAGCAGTTTAAATATCTCTGAAATACAGGCTAAAAAAAAATTTAACCTTACTAGAAGAGTGAAGACTGGAGAAAGGAGAGAAAACCTGATAGGCAGAAGAGAGAGGAGAAGACAGTAAAAGAAGAGAAAAAAGACCAGGACTAGGAGAAAGAGAGAGATGGAATAAAGAAGAGAACATGGGAGAGACAAAAACAGAGGAGAGAGGACATCTAGGATGTCAGCAAAGAGAGTGAAAGAGAGAAAGCTCACCTGTTCCATCCATCCAATCAAATGCATCAAATCCCTTATAGAAGAATTAAATGCTTGCACTAACAAGAGCCACCTCATTAACATCCAATGGGGTGAGGAAAGTTCTTCAACTTCAGACTTTCTTCTCTTTCTCTTTGTGTATGTGTAATATGTTTAGCAGCATCTCTGTTTTCTACTCACTAGATGTCAATGCTTGTTATGCATCAGAGAGTTGGACAATGACTAGGGAGGACAGAAGGAGAGTGGATGCTTTTGAGCTGTGGTGCTGGAGAAGAGTACTGAATGTACCACGGACTGCCAGGAAAACAAACAGATTCATCTTGGAGAGGATTAAACCAAGCTACTCCTTGGAGGCAAGGATTCTGGGGCTTCGTCTGACATACTTTGGACATGTTGCCAGGAGGGACGGGTCCTTGAAGAGGGACATCATGCTTGGGAGGGTGGAGGGACAGCGCAGGAGGGGAAGACCCTCTATGAGATGGATTGATTCGGTGACTGAGGTAATCGGGATGGGTGTGTCAGAGGCGGTGCGGTTGGCACAGGATAGAGCAGGGTTTAGGGCTGTTGTGCATAGGGTCGCTATGAGTTGGAAACGACTCCACGGCACATAACAACAACAACAGATGTCAATGACATCCACCTTCTAATTGTGGCAACTAAAAATGTCTCGAGACATTGCCACTGTCCTCTGTGTGCAGTATGGGGATAATTTCTGGTTGAGAGCCACTGTTTTATCATTCAGCTAAGTTAAATTTAGTTACAGCTATGCTTTAAATCTCATAAATGCAGAAATTATAAAGAACTAGACCAAGAGAGAGAGAAAGAAGGAAAAAGATAGTGAGAGAGATTGCATGCATTCAGAGCAGATATTTTGATAATAAATACTTGTGCAATATTTATTAGGGTTTTTTTTACTGTAATATTGTGCACAGAACAATCAACCAACCCATGGAATGTAGACACTTTACTTTGCTCTAGAACTCATGATTATTAAAAGTTTCTGTGCCCAATTTATCTATTTTAATGTTTACACCCTTCACCCTAACCCTGATAACCATCGAAGAATGATTCCACTTATATGTAACCCAAACCTTTCCTTAGCTTTATATAATAGTCTCATGGCATAATTGTCCTTTGGTGACTGACTAATGTTACCCAGTACAATTTCCTCTAGATTCATCTAGTACTTCACTAGTTCCTAGGATTAATTCTTTGAAGAAAGGGAAAGGTAACAGACAGTTGATGAGAATTATACTTAATTAACGCATCAATCAGTTGTTATTAATGTTAGAAAACAAAATATGCACGACTGATTGAAAAAACAGCATGATTTATAAATTTTCCTCTTTAAAAAGTCTTCATAAATTTAATTTTATATTTTTAAACACAAGGTGATTCCCGGCACACTGGAGTTTGAGAAACAGTGTTGTGGTATATATATAAAATCTCAACATGACTTACAACAAAAGGAAACATTCAAAGTAATAGGAAAAGGGCTAACTTTTTTCAGCAATTTTTTTTTATATATTAGTCTTTTTAGGCATACCAATGAATTGTAGATGGATTATTAAATAGTACTTTGAAAAGTGAACTATTTGTATACCCATGTTTATTGCAGCTTTGTTCACAATAGCAAGGAGTTGGAAACAACCTAAGTGCCCTTCAACAAACGAATGGATAGAGAAGCTGTGGTATATTCACACAATGGAATACTATGCTGCATTGAAAAACAAGGAACTCATGCAATATTATTCAAAATGG